AGGTCTCTGGGTCTGAACACGCAAAAAGGTCCTCCTTTCGTTCCAGCAGTGGAAGTTTTAATCTGAAACCTTAGGCACCCAGAGCTCAGAAACTGCTCACGTTAATGAAATTCCCCATCGCAAAACGCGCCTAGAACAATGGGGTGAGTTTCGAGCGCTGATCCCATGTGAATGGATGTTATTCACTCCTATGGGAGAGAATACTATGTTGAGTTTAGACTCCTCAGTGTTCAAAGCGGCCCTGGAGGTCATTCGATGCAATAATGCAGGATCTCCAATGCAGGGAGCAACTACAGCATCCTTGACGCATCGTCTGCTTAAATACCTCCAGGAGATGTATTAGGATTTGTCTTCTGTTCCTGATGTTGGGTGGCTTGGTTTTCCCTGGGAGGAATCCACCGAACACTCAAGACAGATACGACAACTTCTCAAAGTTGTCACAATGTACAACTTCTCCTTGCCTGCAGACGTACCACCCATTGCGATAACAGGAAATAACTTTTTTTTTTTTGCAGATGAAAGAGAATTATTATTATTACTTTTGCACTCTCAATATGCATCGGATGACAGGCACTTCGAGAGCAAACTGTAATACCTGAATCCCAAACTCCGCAGAAGCCCTGCTCCCAGATTGCTTTGCTGAAGCCTGCGAGCGTTCAGACTCAAGTCCTTTGTAATCAGGACGCAGATGGCTTCTATGGGCCATTTCTGTGCAGTGCTGGGAAGCCATGGAGTGAGTTACTTCAATTACATAATGGTTTTGACAATTGTACCTAGAGAACCCATCATTAAGGGAAGCTTGTGTGCTCAACAAAGGGGAGGGGGCAGGAACAGAAATCAATTCAGCATGTGACCGGGAGACTGAAAATTTCCCTTCTGATCCACAAAGAAAACTTGGGTGTGTAAGTAAAAGAAACGCGTTCAAAGCTGCAGGTGGCTGTCAGTGAAACAAACTCCCATGTAGATTTGAGGTTGTAGCATCAATGTGATTTTTGTTTTGTTTTGTTACGGTACTGAGCGAGGCAGAAACCGAGGATAAAGAAGTATGGGAGCCAAATTTGATTACCGCAAGCATTCGGTCTGACTCACGAGCTTGAAAAACCGGGGAACAGGCAAATGTACAGAAGTTAATGAAGCCTTCAGCCTACCCACATCGTGTTCTTACCATTTGTGCGACACAAGACAAAGCCATACAACAGACGGGAGCACCTGTCAAGTCTCACACCACCAATGCCTGATTTTCTGCATGGCTTCAACAAAACAAAAAAAGAGGGATGTTTTCAACTAGAGCTGAAAGTTCAAAGATCCAGCAAACAGAAGTTTCTGGACCTAAGCCTCATCCTGGATGGCCAGCTTCTGTTCATTAGGCAGCTATGCCTTTTCTGAGGTATTAAGACCAGTGTGTGCCCGATAAATCTTCCAGCTGGACTACTGTAAAGCACTACACAAGGGGCTGCCCTTGGAGGCTGTTTGGAACCTGCAACCTGCTCAGCATGCAACAATTTCAGCGTTACATCTAGGGAGCATGTAGCACTTATTTTCCTTGAGCTCCCCTCGTTGCTGATTTGTTTTGGGGCTGAATTCGAGTTGCCTGGATTTTACCATTGAAGCATAGTACTGTCTGGGACCAGAATACCTAAGGGAGACAATTTGCCATATACTCCTTCCCACACCTAAAATCTGCAACTGAGGATATCTGGGCATCATAGGCGCCAACTGGAAGAAAATACTGCCCTCTCCCTGCACTTCTGCGGAGTGTACTACCCTTCCCTTCTCCCCCACCCACTAGCCTTTCTCCTCACCCAAAGGTAATAAGTTTCAGGTTGCTCGGCCACCCCCCCCCAAACCCAGCCGCTGGCCTCTCTTACTTGCTGGCTGGCCTGCCTCTCCCCAGCTGCCCCAGCTCAGATGTGTTCAGAAATGTTGCCAAAAGCTGGGAAGCAAGCTGGGGAAAGAGGGTGGCGATCAGCTGGGGGGCGGTGGCAGGAGGTGGGTGCCCAAGGGAGGAGCCAACTTGCAGAAAATATATAGGTAAAGGTAAAGGGACCCCTGACCATTAGGTCCAGTCATGGCCGACTCTGGGGTTGCGGTGCTCATCTCTCCTTATTGGCCAATGGAGCCGGTGTACAGGTCATGTGGCCAGCATGACTAAGCCGCTTCTGGCGAACCAGAGCAGCGCACGGAAACGCCGTTTATCTTCCCACCGGAGTGGTACCTATTTATCTACTTGCACTGGCGTGCTTTCGGCTTCTAGGTGGGCAGGAGCTGGGACCGAACGACGAGAGCTCACCCCGTCGCGGGGATTTGAACCGCCGACCTTCTGATCGGCAAGCCCTAGGCTCTGTGGTTTAACCCACAGCACCACCCGCTATGGGGGATGGCTAAAAATGTCATTGGGGATGCCAAAAGAACCAGGGCCCCATAGAGTTGGTGCCTGTGTGTGGCATACCTTTGTGTGTGTGTGTGTGTGTGTGTGTGCGTGTGTTGCCCCCAACCCCAGCTAGTGAATTCACTTTTCACTACAGGATTTTTTTTTCTTTTGGTACCGCAGAATTCTGTTAGGGTTGCCACATTTTGAAGAGCAAAAAAGAGGACGCGTTGGCCGACTTCTGCTTTTAAGTATGGATAGCTATGACGACTCTACCCATGAAAAAGAGGACATATCCTGGGGGGGAAAGGTTATACGGCAACCCTATACAGTGGTACCTCGGGTTACATATGCTTCAGGTTACATACGCTTCAGGTTACAGACTCCGCTAACCCAGAAATAGTACCTCGGGTTAAGCACTTTACTTCAGGATGAGAACAGAAATCGTGTTCCGGCAGTGCGGCGGCAGCAGGAGGCCCCATTAGCTAAAGTGGTGCTTCAGGTTAAGAAAAGTTTCAGGTTAAGAACAGACCTCCAGAACGAATTAAGTTCTTAACCCGAGGTACCACTGTATATGGCTAATAAGGAGACTCCTTATTTCAGTGGGGCTTAACTCCCGAATAAGCCTCTGCAGGATTATAACCTTAGGTGAGTGTTCTCTTTTGAAGCAGTAGTTTCTAATGTCATGTGCTTCCAATTTGCCTCTTCTCTTATCTTGCCATTTGATTTTATTGCACTTTTAACTGTTTGTCTCCGTGTGCAGACGCACGTGCCCTTTCGGCGAATTCCATTCGGAAAGCGGGTTGTAAATAATCTAAATAAATAAACGAAAATTAAACAAAACAAAAAAAGGAGAACGGGACCTCTTGCTCGCGCAATGTTTACCTAGCTTGGATGAGGTCATACATGTAATACGTTTGCCTACGCTCGGATATTGTTCAGAACGCTTGCTTCTCTTTCTGCATCCGCGAGGGGTCGCCTTTTGCAGAGCGAAGCTGCTCTGTCCTGCAACCGTTGTGCAGGATTCGTATACAATGTCGGAAGCCAAGGAGGGGGGCGAAAGACGGATGTACACAACTGGAGAGGCTCGGGGAATTTGGGGAGGCGGGGTGCATTATTTATTTTACCCTCAGCAGCCCCAGGGTAAACCTCTTCCGCAGGCACTTGTCCGTTTAAGGACGAAGAAGCTGCAGCTTCCCTCTTTCTCCCGTACTACGCAATCCCAGGTCAACGCATACTTGCAACAAAGCCTGAGACAAAACCCAGGCAATTATCGTGTTCCCCCCCACCCCACCCCACCCACCACCTCTCTCTCTCCCTGCTTCCTTCTGCAAAATTCCTCGCCTGAACGGAAGCTTTGCAAAATAAAATTAAATAAATCTTGTGCAAAAAATTAAAATAAAATACATTGGGGGGGAGGTGGAAGAGGGCAGGATGACAGCGGGAAGGAGGCGGGCGCTTGTCACGCACGGGCGTTTATCTTCAATGAGGAGCTGCTCCCTGCGAGGTTTGCACCCGAGTAAACTTGCACCTAGATCCACCAGGTCGGTTGGCATTGCCAACTGGTGGTGCGGGGGGGGGGGGAGAGAGAGAGAGAAAGAGAGACGCCTCCTCTCCTTTGCAAAGTGCGCGACCCACCCACGATCAGGCGGCGGAGCAAAACCCAGCGGGAGTGCGCGTCGGCGGCTTTGCATTTCTTTTGCAAGCGCCTCTCCTGCCGCCGCTTTGCAAAGAGAAGAAAAGAAGCAGCAGAGGGGATTTTGGCGCCAAATGCCTGGCACCTCCCCTGCTTTTATGGAAATCAGGGGGGTGGGATTAAGGCTGGATCTCTCCCTCTCTCTTCCACTCCCCCCCCTTTCCCTCCCCGGGTGTGTCAGGATTTTTTTTTTTTGGTAGTTAATAACATACAAGAGCTTCAAAGCCCACTCAGTGACAGTCATCTGTCTGCAAGCAAGGGTGGATGCGGAGGCTTAAGCCCGGCTGGAGGGTGGGGGGGTCGACCGGGCTTGCTGGTGCTCTGGAAAGTGCAAGGACATCCTCGGGCTTAACTCGCGCGCCCCCCACCCCAGTCCTCTCTCCCTCGCCCCCCACGCACCCACCCATTTTCCGTGCAGCAGCCACCGCCATCCAGCAGGTAAGATGTGCCCGGGTGCGCGCGCGCAAAAAGAGCCACTTGGGAGAGGGGGGAAAAAAAGAAGAGAATAAAATCTGTCTTAACCGATGCAGCCCATCCTCCATTTGGAGAGGTGGGGTGCTGTTGGGTGTGTTGTGGTTTTTTGTTTGTTTGTTTGGAAGGATAGATACCTAGTGTCTCCTGACGGCTGGCGCGTTGTCTATGCGTGTGTTGTTGTTGTTTGTTGTTTCCCTCATTCATCGCAAGCCAACCATGCTGCGGTTTATTTTTATTTATTTCCGCCGCCTCCCCCCCCCGCCCTCCCACCGCGCGCTTAAAACTGTTGATGTGGCTGCGCGAGGAGCTTGCGCGCGTCTGCGCTTTTGTGCCCTTTGCTGCGTTCCTCGCGAGGAAATTTAGCAAGCCTTGGGTGGAGGTGAAATAATAATAAGAATAAATAGTGGCGATCTCTCGTGTACAATAATAGTGGGAGCGATCAGGGGGGCGGGGCAGGCGAGAGCAGCAGCTGGGATGGCTTCGTATCCGCGGTGTGGGTTGCTTTGGCGAGCTCCGGTCGGGAAAGCTTTTCCGTTCCGAGCAGTTATTATTGCTATTGATCCCGGGCTTCATTTCAGAAAGGAAAAAAAGAGAAAACCTCCCCCGCTTTCCTCTCCTCCCTCCCCTGCTTTCCTTTAATATCCCGGTGCCCGCGACGTCCATGCAGCATGGACGGGGTTTTTGTTTTGTTTTTGCTTTGGTGGAAACCTATTGCAGACTTTTACATGTCTGGACTGGCGCAATCCTGCTTTTTGCGCGCAGAATGGAGAGGTGCGCTTCGGTACGTGTGTTGTCCGTTTTAAAATATGCCTGCAAAATCGTAGATGCCTGGGTTGGAACTTGTAGTGTTTTTCTGTTTAATTGTTAATTTTTTTCGCAATTTACAACGCAATATATATATAATTTTTCCCCCTTCCTCCCCAACCACCCTGCCTGCCCACAATCAGTGTGGCGCAAAAACTTCCTGTCGCCTATATTGAGAGGCTGTGTTGGTGTGTGTGAATGAATTTCATTCTGTTGCATAATACTGCTGCTGCTTTGGGAGACTTCCTAGTTCGCCTTCCTACTCCCCTCTCTGCGTGTGGGTTTCTGGAAGCGCGCTTGGGAGTGAACGGAATGGCAATTTGCAAAGTAGCGCCGAGCGCGCCTCTCCCCTCCATTCCCCCCCCCCCAACATCCGTCGTCCTCCTTTTCCCTCTCTCTGCGTAGCCTGCAGATGACAAAAGAGGGCAGAAACTTCCTCTTACTTTGCTCGAATATCCAGAGGGTGGGTGGGTTCTTTCCCCCCCCCCCACGGTGTCTGCCGCTGGATGAATTTCTCTCCGCATCTGTGAACATTTCCTCCCCTCCCCGGATTGAAGGGGGTGCGCCCCAAGGAGCAGACTTGAGAGACAGCAGCATGCAGGAGTTGAAGACAAGTCCTTGTACATTCATATAGCCCTGCTCAGATTTCCCTGCTGTTTCCCTACAGAAGGTAGAAGAAACCCGGGAACTGTTGCTGTATGTGGGGGGAGAGCTTTTGTTTCTGTAGGACTGTATCACAGGATAGGTGTGTGTTTCTGATTATTTTTTTTAAAAGTCTAATTTGTTTTTGTTTTTTTCCCCTCCCACTTCTCTCCTGCTTAGTTTGTGATCCTGCCTGGAAAGGCGATTGGGGGGGGGTGCATCTCCTTTCACACCAAGTGGGGAAAAAACAAAACACAAGATTTCTTCTCGGAAGGAAAGTACGCCGAGATGCCAGGGATGGTCAGTAAAAACCCAGACCTTGAATTCGACTCCTTGCAGCCTTGCTTCTACCCGGACGAAGATGATTTTTATTTGTGCGGTCCGGACTCTGCTCCCCCGGGGGAGGACATCTGGAAAAAGTTCGAGCTACTGCCTACACCTCCCTTGTCTCCCAGCCCGGCAGGTCTGCAAGAAAACCCCCCCGGGGGAGCCCCCGTTTCGAGTTGGGGCGGGGCGGGGACTCTAGGGGGGTTCCGAACCGCCGACCCTCTGGACTGGGCTTCGGAATTGCTGCTCTTGCCCCCGGAAGCGGACCTGTGGGGCGGCGGCGATGGAGGGGACTCCTTCGAGACCGGCTTGGGGGAGAACAGCAACCTGAACGCCATCATCATCCAGGACTGCATGTGGAGCGGCTTTTCCGCCAGCGAGAAGCTGGAGAGGGCAGCGGCCAACGAGAAGCCGCAGAGCAAAGGAGGAACAGCTGTCGCGCCGGCCACAGCTGGGTCTGCAGCCCTCTCTGCTGCCGCCGCCGCTGCTGCTGCAGCCACCGCCGCCACCTCTGCGAACAATGGCAGCAGCAGCAGCCAGGCGCAGCTGAACAACTCTGTATCGGAGTGCGTGGATCCAGCCGTGGTTTTCCCCTTCCCTATGAACAAGAGGGAGCCGGCTGCTCCTGCTGCAGCGGCTGGGATCCGGGGGAACCTTGGCGGCGGCAGCGAGGCGGTTCCAGGGGTGGCGGCTCCTGCTCAGCACAGCGGCTGCCACTCAAGCGCAGCCAGTGACAGCCGGACCGGCAGCAGCTCTGGCGATGACACGCTCAGCGATTCCGGTAAATAGCCACATGCTTTCCCGCTCCATTGGGAGGGGGGGGGTGTTTCGACTTGCAACGCTCTTCCCCCTGCCCCTCACAGCAAGCCAGCACAGTAGCACAGCTGCCTTGCTTCAGTTGTGCCACCAGCCAGAGTGGCGACAGCTATGCCTGGATAGCTCAGTTAGAGCAGGGTGCTGATAACTCCAGGGGTTGCAGGTTCGATCCCCGAATGGGACAGCTGCATTGCAGGGGGTTGGACTTAAAGGTCCTCAGGGTTATGATCCTGTGAATCGATAGGAAGCTGGGTGGTTGGGTGGCTGATCACCAATGCTGTTGAATGATCCCAGTGCATCTCCATTAGGCTGGTGCATTTGGACAGAGCTGCCTCTTTACCTAGAGAACAAGGAAATGATCTCTTCTGGTTGTTTTGTTTTGTTTTGTTTGTTTTGTTTGTCTCCCAGGCTGTAACCTTTTCCTTCCTGCATCCAAATCATACCTAAGGCTTACCCCTCCCTCCCCCCCCCTTTACACACCAAACCAAAGTATGCAGATCTGTATATTCCTATAGGTCATGTCTCAGGAATAGTAAGACTGAGTGGAAGTTACTCACAGAATTCTAGAGCTGGAAGGAACCTTGTGGTTCTTCCCTGCAATGCAGGAATATGCAGCAGGATTGAACCTGCAACCTTGGCGTTTTATCAGTACAGCACTCTTAACCGACTGAGCTATGCCCAAGGTGGCTTGATCTCGAGGTGAACCTTCTGCTACAAAGCAATAAGGTGGAAAGAGAGGTTTAAAGCAGAGGTGGGAGGGGGAGACACCAGGAAGGAGAGAAGCTATTTGACTCCTGTGGAATTGAGGGAGGGGTAATGAATGCTGCTGTTATTTATGCCCAGGAGCTCTGCAAAGACAGGATACATAGGGCTACTGCGTTTGTTTCACAGGGAGAAAATGCTTGTAGAATGTAGGGTGTTTGCATTTATTTTTTTAAAAAAAGATTAATAAAATAATAATCTAGACTGGCTTTCCAAACTGGTAGGTGAGTTTAATTGCTTCCCTGCTAGAAACATTACAAAGCATGACCAGTAGGTGGCAGGGTACATGCCTCTCTCAGATCATTATTCTTACCAAAAAAGTTTCCCTTGGGGACTCCCGTTCCAGACAGTTGTATGGGTCCTCCTACCTTACACACAAACTTTGCAGTGCTGATGATGGATGGATGGAAGAAATTCATTTTAAAAAATAAATCTGCAAGCCTACAACATATTTATGCTAAACATCACTGCAGTTCTGCACCTGGTTCCATTTCTGCTGCCATATATACTATATTCAAGTTTTGCATGCAACAGCGTATTGTGAAAACACAAGAGCGATTTGCTCTTTTGTGCTGGGCATGGATTGTTTATTTTGCACGAGGCATCAAAAATTCATGCTTTCCCTCATCGTCCAGCAATTTAGCAGGTGTTTTAGCAGGGCGGAAATACAAAATGCTGAGCTACAAGTTAAGTGAAACATTTACACTCCTGGTGGGAGAGAGGGATAGTAATAAACACAGCTTCCCATATGTAAATGAGAGTATCCCTATGACCAGAATCATAAAGTTGACGAACAGCCTCCTGTTTCAAAACACTCGCTGCTCCCTTCATGTCTGCATCTTGACAGCTTTGAGTGAAGGAGCATTTCCTCCCAACAGCTGTCTTCCTGGCAGTAAACCAAAACTTTGGCTACCAACTGGAAGAGCTCTGCATTCCCTGTTAGAACAAATCCAGCAATTGTTTGGTTTCCCAGTCCCTTTTCAGTCAAGCAAGATGTGCGTGTGTGTACATTTAATGTGCATTGTGTGCCTGCTTGCATTGTCCGTGCAATTTAGAGCACAGACTGGTAGCTTAAAATGCAAATTAGGGTATTTCGTTTCCAGATTTATTTTCATCCTCCTATGATTATTTGAGTTGCAAATTTATTTGCTTTCCTGCATAGCTTGAAATCCAGGGCTTTGTGCTGTTTCATGTGGATCTAGAGCTACATCTTGGTTACAAGACCTGCAGAACTATATAGATAGCAAAGTAGCCTCTAAGGCACATGTATACAAAGTCCTTTCTCTTTTACCTTTAAATGCTGTTTCCCTGCCTCCACTGCCTCTTTTGCGTTGCTTAAATATTTATACATGGGTATTTGCCTTGGGAATTGCTTTCATTTCGCACACATATATGCTAATTAATGCTAAATGCTTGAGAGCCTTCTGGTGTGCTTTCCTGAGATGGTAACATCTCCCTGTTTCTTCTCTCTCTCCCCAATGTGTTAAAAGATGAAGATGACGAAGAGGAGGAGGATGACGAGGAAATCGACGTGGTCACTGTGGAAAAGAGGCGGTCCTCATCCTACAAGGCCGTGACCACCCTCACAGTTGCGACGCGCCCCAGAAGCGCCACCTCTTTTGCCTCCGTGAGAACTCAGCCCAACGAAGTCCTCCTCAAGCGCTGTGCCCCTATTCACCAGCAGCATAACTACGCCGCGCCTTCGCCTTACATCGAAAGCGAGGAGGTGCCGCCCCAGAAAAAGCTAAAAACTGAAGCGCCCCGTCCCGTCAAAGCCATGACCCAACCCAAGGCCAAGAGCTCCAGTCCCCGAAGCTCCGATTCGGAAGACAGCGAGCGCCGGCGTAACCACAACATCTTGGAGCGCCAGCGGCGCAACGACCTGAGGTCAAGTTTCCTCACGCTTAGGGACCATGTGCCGGAACTGGTGAAAAATGAGAAGGCGGCAAAAGTCGTCATCTTGAAAAAAGCCACCGAGTACGTTCATTCGCTACACGCCGAGGAGCACAAGTTGTTGCTAGAAAAGGAAAAACTGCAAGTCAGACAACAGCAGCTGATAAAAAAATTGGAGCACATGCAGACTTGCTAAAAAAAAAAGAGAGAGAGATATTAAAAAAAAACAGCGTTGTTTTTTTTGTTTCGTTTTTTAAAATTGTCTGATCTGGACAGCCACTGCCACTTTGCACATTTTTGATTCCTTAAAGAGAGTTATGTTTTTTGACGTTAAGAATGTTGGTTTTACTTTTCAATCCAGTCTCCGAATTGGAAGAGACTGCCAAACCGTGACGGGGATGCCTTTTGTATTTCCTCTTAGAACTGTATATGTTCTTTATCAATGTTGTGAGCCTTTGGATCTGCTTATGACTTCCAGTTCAGTTCGGAAATATTCATTCCTTTTTAAATGGTGCTTATGTTCTACCAGGTGTTATGGGGCAAAACCATTTTGTACCCTGGGGGGGGGAGGGCGGGGAGAGAGTGGGGAACAAGCCACACCTCTGTAAATAAAATACACACCCACACTTGCCTTTTGTACATGTCTTGGGTTATGAGAGGTGACTTTTTGCTACCAATATTAGACTGGAAGTTCATACCTAAGTACTGTAATACCTCAATGTTTGAGGAGCATGTTTTTGTATGCAAATATATTGTTAATCTCTGTTATGTACTGTACTAATTCTTACACTGCCTGTATACTTTAGTATGACGCTGATACATAACTAAATTTGATACTTATATTTTCGTATGAAAATGGTTGTGGAAAGTTTTGAGTAGATATTACTTTATCACTTTTTTGAACTAAGAAAACTTTTGTAAAGAAAATTTACTATATATGCCTTTTTTTCCTAGCCTGTTTCTTCCAGTTAATGTATTTGTTAATGTTTGTTGCATAGAACTGGGTAATTGCAAAGTTCTGTGTTTAATTTCTTCCAACGATGTACATTTAGTGCTGCATCTTTATAGCACTTTGAAATACCTCATGTTTATGAAAATAAATAGCAGTTAAATGATGTGTTATACTTGCTGCTTTTTATAGACATTTCTCTACGTTATTTCCATCGAAAATAATGCCTGCAAAAAATGTAATACAACTTAGTATTGCCCTGTAATAAATTGCTTGCTGAGCAAACTTCCGTTAGAATTCAATGCTTCCCAAACTTGAGTCTCTATCTGGTTTTGGACTACAATTCCCATCATCCCTGACCTTGTTAGCTAGGGATGTAGTCCAAAAACAGATGGAGACTCAAGTTTGGGAAACAGAGTTAAATTTTGGACCAGGCCCAGTATATGAGGTTGGATCAGGCATGGGGTAATGAGTTCAATGTGAGAATGTGGTCTTTAGAATTAAAAATCAACAGGAACTGTGTTTATCTGGATCATATTTTGCCTATGACCATTCTCAGATTAGCCAATAGGGATTTTGGACCTTGACTTACCACATTTAGGATTGCTAGTCTGGTCAGCGTGTTTAGTGCTGATTCTGATTCCGAAATGTGCATTGGAATATAACAAAAGAAATTACAATAGCTATCCTTTTAATTTTGGTAGGGAGTACTCCTAAGGAAGCCAGCACAGGGTGGCAGTCTGTTTACTTGGGAGCATGGCATGGGCGTAGCCAAGGTGGGGCAGAGGGGGGCAGCTGCCCCCCCATCAAGTAAAACAATAGAAATACAGTCTTACCTTGGATCCCGAACTCCGCAAACCTGGAAGTGAGTGTTCCGGTTTACCAATGTTCTTTGGAACCTGAACATCCAGCGGGGCTTCTGATTGGTTGCAGGAGCTTCCTGCAGCCAATCTGAAGCCGCGCTTTGGTTTCCAAGTGTTTTGGACGTCAAAAGGACTTCCGGAACAGATTCCGTTCAACTTCCGACTATACTTAACTACCTGACCAATCACGCTGATTCTGCCCCATCCCAAAAAAGTCCTGCCCTGTCCCTAACAAAAATCCTGGCCATGCCCATGGAGCATGGCTTTTAAAGCTCACAGTATTTACTGCACATGATTAGAATCTGCTCCAGGGTCAGGATCAAGACTGCCCTGCTGAAAGGAGAGCAGTGGGAAGAGAGATTTTAAAACACAACCCCTTTCTCCTTTGGGCTTCCCACAGTGGTGTGGCTTTTGAGCCTAGCATTTCAGGCATATAACAAAAAACAACTTCCCAAATCCCAGTCACGTTGAGAAAAGAAACTGCTTCCCTCTTTTAACAGTGGTGCTGTCCTCAAGATTTCTCAGTGCTTCAGTAAGAACATCTGAACTCTCTTCTCCTAAGCCTCCAGTTTATTTCTGTGTGCAGGGATGATCCCCGCAGCAAGTTAGCCATTTGCAACTTTGCGTTGCCCACAATATAAAGCACCTAGAACCTGTTTATTAGTAGGGCTCAACGAGACTCTACAGATTCTCAAACGTAGCTTGGGTAAACTGGGCGCCTTAAAACGGCGCTTCTGACAATGAGGAAGTTTGTGCTCCCAAATGCAGCTTTTTGTGGGCTTCTGTATTTTGCAGTGTTTTTGTATCGCCTGAATCCAGGACATAGGCACTTCAAATTTCATTTCCCCCTAATCATAATTATAGTAGTTGAATATTCATTTCTAAGTTCATCTATGCTCGTTGAGTTTAAACCGGTACATTTTTTGTGTTTACCTTTTGTTCAGGAAAATGAGTTCATTGCAGTTGTGTGCAGTTGAACAGCAGTGATTTTTCAGCAGAATTGTGCTCCTTGTAATCAGCCAGGCTCTTATTCATGCTGATGTTTTTTAAATGGATACCAAAAGACACTACAAAGTGGTCCCCATTTTATAACTAATATATACTCCTTCCAATTTTTACACTAATTGTAAATGACCGGCTGAAGACATGTAGCAATGTATTTCTACTAGCAGGGCCACAATTTTGGAAGTTCCTTTCTTTAAAGCAGGGTGGGGACTCTGAGGCCCTTCAGACATTAAACTACAGTTCCCATCATCCCTGGCCATTGGCCATGCTGGCTGGGGGTGCTGGGAGATGGAGTCAACATCTGGAAGGCCACAGGTTCCCAATGCTTGTCCTGGAGCAGTGTTTCCCAAACTTGGGTCTCTACCTGTTTTGGGACTACAACTCCCATCATCCCTAGCTAGCAAGGGGTGATGGGAATTGTTGTCAAAAAACAGATGGAGACCCAAGACTGGGAAGCACAGCTCTGGAGGCTTGCCACAGTCCAAACTTCAGCGTTACCTAGAAGTCCTCTAGGGTGGCATTTGATGGTTTTGGTTAAGCAGCCATAAGCATTTCATGTCATACATTTTAAAATCTATTTGGAAAAGCCTTCTTCTCTCTACTTCTCTTTCTTCTCTCTGAGACAGAAATTGTATCAGCCTGGTATACCCTGCCCTTTTTAAGAGTTGTTTCCCAAACTTGGGTCTCCAACTGTTTTTGGAATACAATTCCCATCATCCTTAGCTAGCAAGACCAGTGGTCAGGGATCATGGGAACTGCAGTCTCAAAGCAGCTGGAGACCCAAGATTTCTATCTGCAGGCTCTCTGACGGTCAGTTAGCAGACTGCAAAAGTGGGGAAACCTCAATTGACCTTCAATTCTTAATTTATTTAAGTGGGGCTTGCACTTTTCCTAAAATTCTGTCTAGGGGACTGTTCTATTAGGCCAGAGATGGGAACCCCAGACAGCATGGCCAAAGGTCCAGTGGATGGGAGCTGTGAATCCAGATGTTATGTGGAGTTGTATTAGGCCATGCACATGCCATTTTCTCAAAGGATAACTTCTCCTTCTACTTCACTTAGAGACTCTGTTTTGCAGCATACCTGAGTAGCTCTTTGCTGATTAATTCAGCTATGGATCCAATAGCCTGGTTGCTGTTTTTATAAAAAAAGATGCTAAAGGAAATCTCTTTTTTAAAAAGATACTACAGATACTTCATGATATCTGCAATAAATACTCAGTGTGTCACATTTTTTCACACCAGAGGCACAATTAATAAAAGCCTGGGAACACAGAAAGTTACCCTATACTGGGTAAGGCAATTGCGTACCCTCCAACATTTCTCTGATGAAAATAGGGATGTCCTATTCCATTATTATTATTATTAGTCCCCTGCCCATCAGACTGGGTTGCCCCCAGCCACGCTGGGTGGCTTCCAACATATATGAAAACATAATAAAACATTAAAAAATTAAAAGCTTCCCTATACAGGGCTGACTTCAGATGCCTTCTGTAGGTTGTATAGTTACTTATCTCTTTGGCTTGTGAGGGTCGCATAACTCCATACCCTCCAACATTTCTCCAATGAAAATAGGGGCAGGAAAAGCAGGACATTCTGTGATCAAATCAGAAACCAGGGCGGTTTCTGTAAATCCAGGACTATCCCTGGAAAATAGGCTGCAATTGCTCCATCTAGCTCAGTATTGTTTACAATGCCTTGCAGTGGTTTTCTGGGGTTTCAAATAAGGAACATTCCCAGCGCTACCCAGAGATGCTGGGGACTGAACCTGGGACCATTTGCATGCAAAAGAGACACTCTGCCACCCAGCTAATCAAACACTGGCCTGGGACTCTTCAGTCTCTATGAGAATAGCCTGCAACCCACTTCTAGGACTCCCAAGGGTCTTGCTCTTCTGAGCTTGATATGCTCCCGAGTACACCAAGGTGGTGTGGAGAACCCAATAATCTTGGCTTGCTGAAGGATTCAGAACATCTAAGGCTGCCGTGACAGGCCACAACACGTCCATCTCGCACGTGTTCCTTGCAGAATAGAACCAGAACCCTGGCATCTCTTCTTAGGCTTGTTCCAGAAGCACCTCTGCCTGCACCAGAACCTGTAGTTTTGGACCACATTCCACTTGGGGTGGAGCTGTCCCTCTCCTCACCCCTATTTCACTTGCAATCAGGCAGAACAAACTCAGGAGGCGATTTGCGACATTTTACGGGGGACGTTCAAAGATGTGTTTGGATCAACTTAGATCATCGCACCGTAGCATAACTATTTTCTGGACCAAGCTGGGTTTAAGCTGCACGTTATTCCATTCTTCACTTCACCCCGTTACTAGGTAGTTTGTTGTCATCCCCTTCCTCTTCCATGGGACTGTATAATCATTTGTGTTTTGTGCCGTTTAAGCAAACCGCATGCTGGGCTGTTATGTGAATGGTGGATTGCTTTATTGTCACTTCAGCTTGTCTCCTCCTATTCTTCTTCTGGATATCCTGGTTTACACCTAGTCTGTAAACCTTCTGGGAGAGGAAATGTCTGGTTTCTTAGTGGGCTTTACAGCGCCTATGTCTGATCCTGAATAAAGATAGTCTCCACCCCTTTTGACTGATTCCTTAATTGTCTCAGCATGATGAACTGGGCAGGGGTGGAGAGGACCTCAGAAACACTTTTGCCATCTGCGCTGCTCCTTAGCTAGGTGGGTTTAGGGGTGATACCTGGGGGGGGGGGAACCCTTTCCTCAAGGAAGAACTGAGAAAACTCCTTGTGAAAGATCACACTCTGTTTCAGACAATACAAAGTATGTGTATGTACATCATACCCTCCAACATCTCTCCGATGAAAATATAGACATCCTAGTCATATTATTGTTGTTGTTGTTGTTGTTGTTGTTGTTGTTGTTGTTATTCCCCACCCATCTAACCAGGTTGCCCCAGACACCCTGGGTGGCTTCCAATATGTATAAAAACATAATAAAACATTAAACATTTAAAAACTTCCCTAGACAGGGCTGCCTTCAGATTATCTTCTAAAGGTTATCTACTTATCTCCTTGGTCCGGTGTGTGTGTGTTTGGCATAACTCTATAACCTCCAACATTTCTCATTTGAAAATAGGGACGTCCTACCATACCCTCCTATATTTCTCTGAAGAAAATAGGGACGTTCTAAGGAAAAGTGGGACATTCTGGGATCAAATCAGAAATGGGAATGGCCTCTGTAAATCTGGGACTGTCCCTGGAAAGTAGGGACACTTGGAAGGTCTGGCACACGTACGTGTGCATAAACCTTTGTATTACTAGTTTGTTTCTTTAAAA